CACACACACACACACACACACACACACATATTATGTCTTTCCATCTTCACGGGAATTTTCCACTGACTTCCATTCGATTTTCCTTCATACTCTAATCCCCAAATGCATACCTAACCCTAATCAATTCCCTTAGTCCTAACCCTAACCCTTCAAACCAAAAATGGCATTTGAACTTAACTTTGGGCCCAACAAGGACCAGTGGGTCCCCACATATTTAGCAAAAATGGGTTTTATAAATTAAGAAACGTGGCAGCCAGTCACATTTAACTGCGTGCACTACCATAAGTGAAAATAGGTTACTCAGTGTCTAATACGACAAACGCCAACCAAACACTTAACCCACAATAACAGTTTCCCTCCAGAATGTTGTTGGTGAGGACCATTGGATTTGGAGTTAAATGTGATTAAGCCTGGTTAGAAAAAAAAAAAAAACACATTACTCGTATTGTCCATTAAGAACTTGTCATTCCTCTCACGCCCCTGGACAATGGGGCACTATATTGTATCTGCATTCTTGAGAGGGAAAGCTGTGCCCTCAGCACTGAACTGTGGGATTATGGACGAGAATACTGATTACAACGTTCACACACACACACACACACACACACACACACAAAAAAAAAAAAAGAGGGGGCCTTTTAGCCTTTTAGTTGCTATGAGATTTTTCTTTCATTTGAGATGGGTAAACACAACAAAAAGACATTTTAACCAGTTTAAAAACTGATAGGTTAGCAACAGTAAATGTAAATTAAGTATATAAGTCATCATGTTGATGCATAAGGCTAAATAACTGAAAAATGTGTTGTCTTTTGAGGACAATGTTTAATGATGTAATGAATCAAATAATTACCACACCTTTTAAAAATGTCATTCAATGTAATTTTGTTGCATTGGGATAAAGTTAGTCTGGCCAAGTTTTAATACGTACATAAGCTAAGCTAAGCTAAGCAGTTTCTTTTTCAATTTAATGAATATAAAATTTAAATCGCAAATTCTTTTACCCTGTTTTGTTACGCTGGAAATGCCAAACTTGCTTCCTCTTCATGCTGAGCTAATCTTCGCTAAGACGACTGGCTATTGGTTGTGTAACAAACCAGAAGAGAGAAAAAAAGTAAATCAGGGTTGATTTCACTGAGTGTAACTGTTTGAATTCCTGAAAAAAAAGTTAATAAACAAGCAAACATTGTTAACTGAAGTAATTTTGGTGCTTTTGAAAGAAGCTAGGCTTGCAGAATCCTTATAGCTACCAAAGATAAGCTAAATAAATGTGATGAGTAGAATGACCAAAGTTAAACCATCAACTATCATTACATACTTCAAGTATTTTCCTGTTTTATGTAATTTTATTACCTTTGGACAGCCAAACCTGCTGACCTTTGCTAATCAGAGCTAAACGGCCAATGGTCGTGTAACAACCCTTCTATAAAAAAGGGTAATTATCAGTTAAATCACAGACTATAAATGTTGTCAATGTAATAAGTTTGTCTAATTATAGTTGTGTCTCCTTGTAATCTTTTTACAGCTGTCAATAAGACAATATGCACTTTGACTTCTGATTGGGATAATCCAATGCAGTTACATACAAATGCAATTACAACTTTAATCTAAGATCAAATAGATGGGTTGGTGTGTAATAAAAGTTTTTATGCTTGTACTCAAATGTAAAACTTTTTTTTTATAAAAAGGAAAACAAAAAAGGGAGCATTGGTTTTAAAAAGATGCAGTTCTGTTGTGAAAACCCCTGATAGCTCATTACTGTCTCAACAAATGCGAGTTAAACCCTTACCACGCAGAGAAAATTCAACTAAACATGATTTGCAAACACCACCTGTCACCATCCGTGGGGTTTTTGTTACAGTTGGTGCACAGAGTTTACCTTAGCTTTATGGTTGTTATGTGCTTTTGTTTATATGGTTTACATGCAAACACTTGTTGGGTTTACTTTTGTCGTTTGTTCAGACCTATCTTATAAATTTCTGTCACTCATTGATTTGGAACTTCGTYTTGTGTCCCAGCAGCACTTTGTGTCCTGATCTGAAGTCAATAAAAATTTGGTGTTTGCTCTCCATCTGCTGCCCGCTTATACTGCTGATGCTGCGTTCAGGTTCTGCTTCTTCACCAAGATGCCCTTTTTGACTAAAGTCAATGGAAAACTCTTGCGGTTTGATACCGTTATGCACCATTATGCACAGCTAAACTGCTCATTTCACCCAAGAGGGGTAAAGCAAAGAATTGGATTTTTTTTTTCACTCAAGAACCAAAGTACCACTTTCAGTATTGTATTTCCCTGATGATGCAGCAGAGGGTGATGTAACACTGTTTATTCCCGAGATGTCTTCACAGAAGTTTTATCAAATGTTCAATAAGAGTTATAACATCTGAGGAATCCATCCAATACCAGTTTATCACCACTTCTACTACCATTACAAATTAAATAATTAAGAGATTTAATAATTTATGGTGACATTATTCTTCTTTTTAGCTTGTGCAAGTCTTCATTAGACTGAAACACGACTAGAACAAACTCCAGTCTCCACATTTAAGCAGAACATCCAAAACACTATCACTGATGCCTGTTCCTGTTAAAAATTCTGAACACACTTTTAAGCACCTTTTCTTTTTCTTTTTTCTACATTAATTTATTTTAATGTAAATCTTTGTTCATTGTATGCTCAATGTTGTATTGTATGTTTTATTATTATTGTTATTATTCACGCAGCCTCTTGGCCAGGTCATGTTTGTAAATGAGAAGTGGTTCTCAAACAGTTTACCTGGATAAATAAAGGTTAAATAAAATAAAGCAATAAAATAGATTTAAACAGGTCGAAATTATCATGAAAACTGAATATTTTAGCTCAATAAAGTAAGTGAGAACAGCTTCTTTACCCTTATTTTAGGTTGTATTAACTTGTTTTCATGGTGGAAAATTTAAAATGCAGCTTTTTCTTTATTA